GGGGGGGGGGGGGGGGTGGGGGGGGGGGTTGGTGGGGAGGGTATGCGTTGTTATTAGATTTAAATATAATTAAACCAGTTTCTAGAGGACACGATAATTTATATCATTTATTTTTTCTTTGTAAAAGTTGTAGGCTTATCTGTACACCTGAGTGCAAAAGAATCTTTCGCATTATTTTTTGATGAAAAAAAAAAGAAAAGAAAATGTTCACTGTCACAACTGGATGCACAGCAAGTTTTTGATTCTTGATTTTGTGCACACCCTCCCCCCTCCAAGCCCTTCCCCTTCATGAAAAGCACAAAACGAAACATTGGCGTAGTAAGCTTAGAGTGGGGGTTTGAGGGGGAGCTGTTTGGGTTAGGGGTTGGCGGAAGACAGTGATCCTTACTTTATCATTCGCTAGTGACTTGTTATTTTTTTTTTAAACGGTGGCATCTGTCTTACGTCGGACCAACGTCATTACGAAGCTACCTTTCTTGTCGGCAATAGCGGGCATCAGCCATATTTGTCAAACCTTCTAAAACAGCGTTTCTGAACCTATGGGTCGCGACCCCATGGGGGGTCGCACTACCCTTTCACAGGGGGGTCGCCTGATACCATCTGAAGTAGAGACCGACCGAAAGTGATTTTCTGATTTCGGCCAAAGCCGAAAATAGGCCGAAAGTTTAAAATAACTTTCGGCCGAAACCGAAAAAAGCCGAAGGTTTAAAAATGACTTTCGGCCGAAACCGAAAAAAGGCCGAATATTACAAAAATGAATTTCGGCCGAAACCGAAGCCGAAGCCGAAACCGAAAATGTAATATTAAGTTATTTTTAAATTCGATCTCGCATACATCTGCATACATCGAAAATGGTGAGGGAAAGTATAAATATTTACATTCTTTTTATAAAAAATGAGATAATCGTGAATATTAATAAATAAACATCTAAAATAGGGGTCTCAAACTCGCGGCCCGCAAGCCATTTGTGACCCGCAAGACGATATTTTTCGGCCCGCTACATGACGGAAAAGTTTAGTGTAAATGTGCCGGCCCGTTTCCCTCATTCTCATATCTATAACGTGATTCTCCGCGACGGTTTCAGTCGAATCACACCGACTGTCTAATTCTGATTATTTTTTATATATTTTTGTATGCA